TGATGATTACTAATACTGCTATTTGTCATATGATAAATTAAAACCAAAGTATTTAAAATATTCACTTATTAATTCACTTCAAAAATAACAATAATAAACCCATTCCACATTAATATAAATATTTTCTGAAAAACAACTTTATTTTCCAAATCAAAAAAACGTTAGCTAGAAGAGTGGCATTATTTTATATTTTTCAAATCTCATTAATACCTGGCTTAGTAGAAGATAGCTGATCTACTGTCTGTTTCTGCATTCAATCTCTTATGATATCATGTAGCCTCTGGAAAACTTCACTGTACACACCTGAATGAGAATGGAAGGGGCAAATACAGTCTTGGTGTTATTATAAAAACAGCTATCATCTTGCTGACCTCCCTGAAAAAGTCTCAGGGATCCCCTAGGGGTCCACAAACCATACGTTGAGAATCAATGCTCTAAAGAGGATGAAAGTGGAAATCTCTGGACTGGAGAAACCAGAAACAATTGAGGGACAAACTTACTGTACCAAAAACATGAGCATTAACTAAAAAACCCCTACATTAAATGTGAAAAATTCAATCTTATCTCCCTTTCCCAGACTCCAGCCCACCTTACATTCCAGGATACTATCAGTCAAGCTGAATCCTTTAACCAGGGGACCTAAACCCCTTCTCAGGATTCCAGCCAGTCTAATAGAGAAGGTCTGAAGATACTGGTATCAGGAGTTCCCCAGTGAAATGGTACAATCTTCAAACTATGATGAAACCCATGAATGGCAACATAGAACTTCAAATGAGCTTTTTTTCTCTCTCTTTTTGTTACAACTTTATTGTGGTATAATTGATATACAATAAACTGCACATATTTAAAGTGTACAATGTAATGAGTTCTCACAGATGTATATACTCATTAAACTTTTACCAAAATCAAGGCAATGAACATTTCTATCACTCCTAATAGTTTCCTCAGGCCCTTTTGGAATCCATTTCTTCCTCCTCCCCTGACATTGGGCAATCACTAATCTGTTTTCTAACACTATGGATTCGTTTGCTTTTTCTAGAATTTTATATAAATAGAATCCTACAGTATGTACTCTTTTGGTGGTCAGGGAGCATCTGGCTGCTTTCATTCACCAATTTCTCAAAATAGAAACAATTTTTAAAACCTTGGAACTGCTGAAAAACAATCTGGGGCATGTAATCTGTGATTTAGAAATGGGGAAAGAAAGGAATCTGTGGAAAGCAGGTACCACTTGGGAGAGATTCCCAAGCAGGCAGAGTAAGCAAGTCTATTATAAGGGATTCCATGTTCCCCAAAATATTCCCCTCATATGATCTGAATTTTTTTATGAGCTTTTTGATGCTCTTCTTAATTACCAGCAGACAATCAAGGTAACAAGATACCGTGTGAGGAAAGCTTGTAACATGAATAATAAAAAAGACAACAAACATGCAGAGGAAAAATTAGAGAAAGCAGAGACTACACAAGAAGATCAACTCTTTTAAAAACTGTCATTAATATCCTCAGAGAAAATACTGTATGTATTAAAAAGAAAAGAATGTATTCTAAAATATTCAAAGAAGAAAAACAGAGCCCTTTGGAAATTAATAATACAACAGAAATGAAAACCCCAATAGAAGTCTTGGAAAGTGAAGTTGAGAAAACCTCCCAGAAACTACAGCAATAGACAAAGAGATGGAAAAAGAGTGGGGGCAGGGCCAAGATGGTCAACTAGAAACAGCAGAGATCAGAGGCTCCATTTGAAAAGAACCATAATACCATGTGACTCCTACACCAGCAACCAAGGTATTCAGGTTCTCATCAGAACTGACTAGGTGGCTGGCGTGATCCACGGAGAGTAAGGAAGGGCAGCGTGGCACAGCAGCCCACCTGAGAGCCACTTGGGGCAACGGAGCCCCCAGCCCCAGCCAAGGGAGGCAGCGAGTGAGCGTGCTACCCAGTTGGGGAAACAGTGCTTTTTCCACAAAACTGTGCAACCCACGAATCAGAAGATCCCACTCGCAAACCCACGACGCCGGGGCCTTGGGTCCCAACCCCAGAGCCATGCAGATTCTCAACAGCCTCTCAGCTAGAATCTGCTTAAGCCTGCTGAGTTCCCAGGGGGAGGGGCGACCAGCACCACACCTGCAACTGCCTGTTCTCTTAAGCCCTTTGAGCTCCTTTGTGGGAGGGGCAGCAGCCAGCACTGAGACTCAGAACTGCCTAACACACTAAGCTCCCTTGATGGGGGAAGGGCAGCATCCATCTCTATAGCTCCAGGCCACACTTTTCCCCTGCTGGAGCCAGGGAGGCTGGACCGCTCAGTCCCAAGAGGTGTCCCCCACAACCGAACACACCACTGTGCACACTGTAGCCAGAGCACCTCTTCGGGCCTGACCCAGACCCATCTTTCCTCAATGGGCAGGGCCTCCCTGCAAGAACTCCAACAACTCCAGCCAGAGGCTCGGGGACAGAACCCTCATCTCGCTGGGCCTGAGCCCCTAGAGGGAGGGGTGGCTGCAGTCTCTGTGGATCAACAGACTTAGCCTTTCCTTCTAGTAGTTCTGAGGAATCCGGGCAGCCTAGATGAGCGGGCTCTCCCACAACAAAGCACACCCTCTCCACCAAGGGACAGTCAAAGTGCTTCATTAAACAAGTCCTGTTCCCCATGCCACCCAACGGGGTGAGACCCTCCAACAGGAGTTGTCAGACACTCTATACAGGAGTGAACCTACTGGCATCAGGTTGGTGCCCCTCAAGGTCAGAGATCGCAGAAGAAGATGCAGGCACCCATCTTTGCTGCTTTCCAGCCTGAGTGACATCTCCAGGCACAGGAGCCAACCAGATGAATAGGGCCTGAAGTGAACCCCCAGCAAACCACAGCAGCCCTATAGAAGGGGGACCTGACTATTGAAAGAAAAACAAACAGAAAGCAACAATAACAGCATCAACAACAAAAAAAAGTCCCCACAAAAACTCCATCCACGAGTCAAAGATCAAAGATCAAAGATCTTTGCAGCCTCAAAGATCAAAACTAGACGAACTCATAAAGATGAGAAAGAATCCATGAAAAAATGCTGAAGACCCAAAGTGCCCCTCCTCCAAACGATCGCAGTGCCTCTCCAGCAAGGGCACAGAACTGGATGGAGGATAAGATGGATGAATTGACAGAAGCAGGCTTCAGAAGATGGGCAATGAAAATCTCTGCTGAGCTAATGGAGCATGTTTTAACCCAATGCAAAGAATCTAAGAACCTTGATAAAAGGTTAAAGGAGCTGCTAGTTAGAATAACCAGTTTCGAGTGGAACACAAATGACCTGATGGAGGTGAAAAACACAGCACGAGAACTTTGTGAAGCATACATAAGTATCAACAGTCGAATCAACCAAGTGGAAGAAAGGATATCAGAGTTTGAAGACCACCTTGCTGAAATAAAAGACATGCAGAAAAGATTAGAGAAAAAAGAATGAAGCTGAATGACAAAGCCTCTAAGAAATATGGGACTATGTGAAAAGACCAAACCTACGATTGATAGGAGTACCTGAAGGAGATGGGGAGAATGGAAACAAGCTGGAAAACATACTGCAAGATCTTATCCAAGAAAACTTCCCCAATCTAGCAAGAGAGGCCAACATGCAAATTCAGGAAATACAGAGAACACCACCAAGAGACTCCACGAGAAGATTAACCCCAAGACACATAATCCTCAGATTCACCAAGGTCAAAATGATGGGAAAAAAATGTTAAGGGCAGCCTAAGGACCAGGTCACCTACAAAGGGAAGCCCATCAGACTAACAGCAGATGTCTTAGTAGAAACCCTACAAGCCAGAAGAGATTGGGGGCCAATATTCAGCATTCTTACAGAAAAGAATTTTCAACCCAGAATTTCACAACCAACCAAACAAAGCTTCATAGGCAAAGGAGAAATAAAATCCTTTCCAGACAAGCAAATGCTGAGGGATTTCATCATCACCAGGCCTGCCTTGAAAGAGCTCCTGAAGGAAGCATTAAATATGGAAAGGAAAACAACCCAGTACCAGCCACTGCAAAATAAAGATCAATGACACTATGAAGAAGCTTCATCAACTAGTGTGTAGATAGCATCATGATGACAGGATAAAATTCACACATAACAATACCAACCTTGAAGGTACATGGGCTAAATGCCCCAATTAAAGGACACAGGTAAATTGGATAAAGAGTCAAGACCCATCGGTGTGCTGTATTCAGGAGACCCATCTCATTTGCAAAGACACACATAGGCTCAAAATAAAGGGATGGAGGAAAATTTACCAAGCAAACGGAAAGCAAAAAAAAAAAAAAGCAGAAGTTGCAATCCTAGTCTCTGAGAAAACAGACTTTAAACCAACAAAGATCAAAAAGACAAAGGAGGGCATTACATAATGGTAAAGGGATCAATTCAACAAGAAGAGCTAACTATCCTAAATATACATGCACCCAATACAAGAGCACCTGGATTCATAAAACAAGTTCTTAGAGACCTACAAAGAAACTTAGACTCCCACACAATAAGAGTGGGAGACTTTAACACACCACTGTCAAGGTTAGATCAGCAAGACAGAAAATTAACAAGGATATTCAGGACTTGAACTCAGCTCTGGATCAAGTGGACCTAACAGACATCTACATAACTCCCCACCCCAAATCAACAGAACATACATTATTCTCAGTGCCACATGGCACTTGTTCTAAAATGGATCACATAATTGGAAGTAAAACACTCATCAGCCAATGTAAAAGAACTGAAATCACAACAACAGTCTCTCAGACCACAATGCCATCAAATTAGAACTCAGGATTAAGAAACTCACTCAAAGAGTCCCCGCAGCGCCAGTCGGGAGCGCAGCTCGGCTCAGCTAGGCTCGCACTGCGGAAGCGACCTGCGAGTGGTCGGGCCTGGCGGCTAGACAGGCGCCCCTCGCTGCCGGGTGCTCTCCCAGCCGCCCCCCATGAGCGCAGCCCCGGGCGGCCCGGGTCCATAGGCAGCAGGGCGCCCCCCATGCTGCTGCAGCCCACACCCTGCGCCCCCAGCGCGGGCTTCCCGCAGCCCCCGGCCGCCCCTGGCGCCGGCGCCGTGCACTGCTCGCAGAAGGACATCACGTTTGCCAAGATCTTCGTGGGCAGCCTGACGTACCACATCACTGACCCCTCGCTCAGGAAGTACTTCGAGGGCTTCAGCGACATCGAGGAGGCCGTAGTCGTCACCGACCACCAGACGGGCAAGTCCCACGGCTACTGTTCCGTGACCATGGCTGCCAGGACGGCAGCTGAGAGGACTTGCAAAGACCCAAACCCCATCATCAACGGCCGCTAGGCCAACGTGAACCTGGCATATCTGGGCGCCAAGCCGCAGAGACTCCAGAGGGGCTTTGCCATTGGGGTGCAGCAGCTGCACCCCACCTTGATCCAGCGGACTTAAGGGCTGACCCCGCACTACATGTACCCACCAGCCATCCTGCAGCCCAGCATGGTGATCCTGGCCGCCCCTGTCCCGTCACTGTCCTCGCCTTATTGAGTACACGCCGGCCAGCCCGGCCTACGCCCAGTACCCACCGGCCACCTATGACCAGTACCCATATGCTGCGTCACCTGCCACGGCTGCCAGCTTCGTGGGCTACAGCTACCTGGCCGCCGTGCCCCAGGCCCTCTCACCCACAGCCCCCACCACCTTCGTGCAGTACCAGGCGCCGCAGCTGCAGCCCGACAGGATGATGGGCCGGCGACAGCCCAGCTGAGCTTCAGTGAGGTGCCACCAGCACCCATGCCTCCGAATACCGCTCGGGCACTCCACCTGCACCCTGGGACAGCGGGGAGACGGCTTCTCTTTAAATCTAGGTCCGATTGTGTCTTGAGGGAGGACTTTAAGAATGACTGAGAGCTGTTTAAAGACAATCTCGGGTTCCTTGCTCACCACGGCAGCCTCTCCTTGCACCTTCTCCTGCCTCTCCACACTCCAGGTGCCCTCAGGTTTGTGTCTCCACCCCGCATCGTGGTGGGGTGTCACAGACCCTCTGCAGTCCCTGGCTGCCCTGGACTGTGCCGTGGAGATGCCTGACTCCAGGGAAACCTGAGGGCAAGAAGTTAATGGACTGTTTATTGTAACATGATCCTCACGAGCTGTGAGCGCAGTCAAGGTGTGAGGACACGGCCTTCTGTTGGAGTCGCATTTTCTCCATCAGGGCACGTGGGCAGCTTCCTCAAGCCCAGAGGAGCTCCCAGGCACACGGGGGCCGCCGGTGACAGGGGGAGCCGGCCAAAGGCCCCTTTCCAGTGATAGCACTGAAGTTGCAACTTTTTTCTTGTAATTGTTTTGCTACTAAGATAATTTCAGAAGTTCAGTCTATTTTTTCAGCGGATACTGCCGCCACCAAGAATCCAAAACCTATTTTTGACTTGGAGAGACTGGCTTTTGTTGGTTCCACCCATGGAGACGACCACAGGGTTTCTGTATAATAAAGTGTCTGCCGGCTGGCAGGCCAGGATCCTCTGGGTGGGATGGGCACCATAGACAGGAGGCCCTGCAGGCCTGTGCGGGCCACTGTCTGCTGCCGCCTGCCAGGGTGGCAGAGTGAGTTGTCTCAGGACCCCATCACTGCGACATTGACGCTCCTCTCCTTTCCCTACCTCCCCAACTCCCCAACCACTGTGGAAGGGGAGAAGGGAGTGACCCATAGCATTCCGGCCACTCAGGGTCTAGACCACGATGGTGCCAGCCTGGGGGGGAAGGGGCCCTCAGCTCTGCCTGCTGGAGCAGTTGAGTGCAGGAGGGTGCGCCTCTTCCCTCTACCCCCGCACCACCTGCTGTGTGCCAGCCCCAGTCGATTCCTGCCTGTCTTGGGGATTGGTAGAGGGAGGAAGCAGTTCTGCCAGCCGTGGCAGGGCTGCTATGGGGCATCCAGGGCTGTGGGGGTCTGGAGGAGGGGACATGAGGTCAGAGGTATCCTGGCCAAGGGCTGGGGGACAGCGGGGGGGTCTCCCTCCAGACCTACCTCAGGGAGCTGAGCGTGCAGGTGCTCCAGGGCAGGCCTTGGACAGAGTCAAGGCCCAGAGAATAAAGGTAGCTAATCTCATAATATTTTTATTAGAATGTTCTGATGATAAAAATAAAACTTGTTTTCTTTTAAAAAAAAAAAAAAAAAAAAGGAAAGAAACTCACTCAAAACCACACAATTACATGGAAATTGAACAACCTGCTTCTGAATGACTCCTGGGTAAATAATGAAAATAAGGCAGAAATCAAGAAGTTCTTTGAAACCAATGAGAACAGAGACAACATACAAGAATCTCTGAGACACAGCTAAAGCAGTGTTATGAGGGAAATTTGTAGCACTAAATGCCCACATCAGAAAGCTAGAAAAATCTCAAATCAACACCCTTATATGACAAGTAAAAGAGCTGGAGAAGCAAGAGCAAACTAATCCAAAAGTTAACAGAAGGCAAGAAATAACTAAGATCAGAGCAGAACTGAAGGAGATAGGGACATGAAAAACCCTCCAAAACATCAATGAATCCAGGAGCTGATTTTTTGAAAAAATTAACAAATAGATAGACCACCAGCTAGACTAATGACAAAAAGAGAGGAGAATCAAACAGACACAATAAAAAAATGATAAAGGGGATAGGCCACTAACCCCACAGAAATACAAACTACCATCAGCGAATACTATAAACAACTCTACGCAAATAAACTAGAAAATCTAAAAGAAATGAATAAATTCCTGGACACATACACCCTCCCAAGACTATACCAGGAAGAAATTGAATCCCTGAATAGGCCAATAACAAGTTCTGAAATTGAGGCAGTAATTAATAGCCTATCAACCAAAAAAGTCCAGGACCAGACAGATTCACAGCTGAATTCTACCAGAGGTACAAAGAGGAGTTGATACCATTCTTTCTGAAACTATTCCAAATAATTGAAAAGGAGGGACTCCTCCCTAACTCATTTTATGAAGCCAGCATCATCCTGATACCAAAACCTGGCAGACACACAACAAAAAAAGAAAACTTCAGGCCAATATCTCTGATGAACATCCATGTGAAAATCTTCAATAAAATACTGGTAAACTGAATCCAGCAGCATACCAAAAAACTTATCCACCATGATCCAGTTGGCTTCATCCCTGGGATGCAAAGCTGGTTCAACATACACAAATGAATAAACATAATCCATCACATAAGCAGAACCAAAGACAAGAACTACATGATTATCTCAACAGATGCAGAAAGGACTTCAATAAAATTCAACATCCCTTCATACTAAAAACTCTCAATAAACTAAGTATTAATGGAACATTCCTAAAAATAATAAGAGCTATTTATGACAAACCCACATCCAATATCATACTGAATGGGCAAAAGTTGGAAGCATTCCCTTTGAAAACCAACACAAGACAAGGATGCCCTCTCTCACCACTGCTATTCAACATAGTATTGGAAGTTCTGGCCAGGGCAATCAGGTAAGATAAAGAAATAAAGGGTATTCAAATAAAAAGAGAGGAAGTCAAATTATCTGTTTGTGGAGGATTCTATATTTAGAAAACCCCATCGTCTCAGCCCAAAAACTACTTAAGCTGATAAGCAACTTCAGCAAAGTTTCAGGATACAAAATCAGTGTTCAAAAATCACAAGCATTCCTTTACACCAACAATAGACAAGCAGAGAGCCAAATCACAAATGAACTTCCATTCACAATTGCTACAAAGAGAAGAAAATACCAGGAATACAGCTAACAAAGGATGTGAAGGATCTCTTCAAGGAGAACTACAAAACCACTGCTCAAAGAAATAAGAGAGGTCACAAACAAATGGAAAAGCATTCCATACTCATGGATAGGAAGAATCAATATCATGAAAATGGCCATACTGCCCAAAGTAATTTATAGATTCATTGCTATTCCCATCAAATTACCATTGACATTCTTCCTAGAATTAGAAAAAAATACTTTACATTTCATATGAAATCAAAAAGACCCATAGAGCCAAGACAATCCTAGGCAAAAAGAACAAAGCTGGAGGCATCATGCTACCTGACTTCAAACTACACTACAAGGCTATGGTAACCAAAACAGTGTGGTACTGATACCAAAACAGACATATAGACCGATAGAACAGAACAGAGCCCTCAGAAATAACACCACACATATACAACCATCTCATCTTCTACAAACCTGACAAAAACAAGCAATGAAGCAATGGGGAAAGGATCTCCTATTCAATAAACGATGCTGGGAAAACTGGCTAGCCATATGCAGAAAACTGAAACTGACCCCTTCCTTACACCTTATATAAAAATTAACTCAAGATGAATTAAAGACTTAAATGCAAAACCCAAAACCATAAAAATCCCTAGAAGAAAACCTAGGCAATACCATTCAGGACGTATGCATGGGCAAAGTCTTCATGACAAAAATGCCGAAAGCAATTGCAACAAAAGACAAAATTGACAAATGGGATCTAACTAAACTAAAAGTCTTCTACGCAGCAAAAGGAACTATCATCAGAGTGAGCAGGCAACCTACAGAATGGGGGAAAATTTTTGCAATCTACCCATCTGACAAATGCCTAATATCTAGAATCTACAAGGAATGCAAACATATTTACAAGAAAAAAACAAACAAACCCATCAAAAAGTGGGCAAAGGATATGAACAAGGCACTTCTCAAAAGAAGACATTTATGTGGCCAACAAACACGTGAAAAAAAACTCAACATCACTGATCATTAGAGAATTGCAAATCAAAGTCACAATGAGATACCATCTCATGCCAGTCAGAGTGGCGATTATTAAAAAGTCAAGAAACAACAGATGCTGGTGAGGCTGTGGAGAAATAGGAATGCTTTTACACTGTTGGTGGGAATGTAAATTACTTCAACCATTGTCAAAGACACTATGGCAATTCCTAAAGGATCTAGAACCAGAAATACCATTTGACCCAGCAAGCTCATTACTAGGTATATACCCAAAGGAATATAAATCATTCCATTATAAAGACACATACACACATATTTTTTTCACTACACTTTAAGTTCTGGGATACATGTGCAGAACATGCAGGTTTGTTACATAGGTATACATGTGCCATGGTGGTTTGCTGTACCCATCAACCTATCATCTAGGTTTTAAGCTCTGCATGCATTAGGTGTTTCTCCTAATGCTATCTCTTCCCTTGTCCCGCACCCCCTGAGAGGCCCCAGCATGTGATGTTCCCCTCACTGTGTTCGTGTGTTCCCATTGTTCAACTCCCAGTTATGAGTGCGAACATGAGGTGTTTGGTTTTCTGTTCCTGTGTTAGTTTGCTGAGAATGATGGTTTC